GCGGGGTGCTCGGGAGGCCGCAATTATAGGGGGCCTCCTGGGCTCTCCTGCGGGGGCACCTCGGGCCAGGGGCACCTCTGGCAACACCCCGAACTGGGGGAGAGGCCTCGAGGCCTGCGCTGCGTCGCCTGGCCGGCCGCGGGGCTCGGCGTCTGGACGCCCCGGCCTGCCCGACACGTGGTGCGCTGGGCGTCTGCACACCGAACTCCTTCGCCGAGCTTCCTGGCTCGCTTGGCCGCCCCCAAACGACGAGGCGTATGCATCGGGCCCCTCCGACCCTCTCCATGGCCCGAGCGAGTGTTCGGGCGCTCTCTCTCTACGCGGATGGCATCGCAGAAAGCAACTGTACACAGCTACCGTGCCTGGCCAGAGCCACCCTGGGCGCTGGCGTTGGGTAAACGGCCTCCTGGCCGAAACCAAGGCTGGGTTCACGTATGCATATATTTATGTACCATCCGGTGGCCCAGGATTGCCCCGGCCAGGCACGGTACAGACGCCTCATGCGGAACTTCTTCCAACCGCGAGACGAATGCCGTGGAAGACTGCAACATCTGCAACCTCTGCGTCCCCTCTGCAGCCGCGCTCTCCGTCACCCGTCCTACCACTGCCCCCTGCGGCTCCCGTTCGCCTTCCTTCGCCGCCCGTCTCATTCCTTCCTTCGCGGAGACCCGATCGAAAACCCACTGGAACAGTCGCCAAGCCCAAACAAGGCCCGATAAATTTGGGTGCGGAAATTGCACCGTGTCCTGGACATTCGCTGACCATGCGCCGCTCTGTGCGAGGTAGGCGCGGGACTTGTGAGAGCTCATTCGCTAACTTGCAGTCGTGAAACAGGCTCGCCTCGAACGCTGTCGAATTGGGCAACAGATCATCATGAGGCTCGCTCAACACGACGGATCAACGTTGTTTGATCTGCTGGCGCATCATCCTATGTCAAACCGCCTCCCAACCATCCCAGCCGATCGGAACGACCACCCGAAGACCAGCAGAAACCCGTAGTCGATGTAGAGGAGATGCAAATTGTGCTCACCGAAGCCGATGCCATGACCGGCCAAGATTTTCTCGAAGCAGGCCCGTGCCTGGTTGTCCTGATTCAGCTGCAGGTATATCTTGGCCTCGCCCCGCTCTCGGATTCTCTGCACCCCTGCACTCCGCAAACCGATCCCGCTCGTGTCCCTCCGCGGTGGCCAGCTCCGGCCTCGTGATCTGTTCGCAACACGGACCCTCGGGGGTCTCGACCCAAGACGGGCTTCCCGACCCGAATCGTGTTCTGGTGCTTCCTGGGCCCAGGAAAGGGCCCTCCAGGGACGAAGACGACGAACAGCCTGCCGCCGCGATGCTGCCACGGAAAGGGTGCGCACACTCCTGGCGGCCCTCGGCTCGTGAGCCACCCCCCTTCCCCCCAGATGTAGAGGCCTCCTACCAGTGGACTCGAGTAGACCGGGGGGGTCGGAAGATCGCGCCGCATCGCCGATGCAATTGCGATGCATCGGCGACGTCGGCGTGGAGAACGTCGGGGCCTTTATCGAGCCGCATCGTCGACGCAGCGGCGACGCGGCGCGATCCTCCGACCGCATCTGCTCGGGCCCCTGCTTCGCAATATTGGAAGGCATCCGTGCAGAGATGGCGACCGAGAGCAGCATTACGACCATGCACGATGCCGTTCGGAAGGGGATGGGCACCAACACCTCTGAGGCCATCGATCCAGTTCGTGGACTGGTTGCCCCCCCTCCCAACCCTCTCCAGTGTAGAGGCCCCGCAGATGGGGTCCGAGTACAAAAAGGTCGGGGGATCGAATCGGGATCGCGGCCCCAGCCGGCGAACCGAACCGCATCGCATCGGACTGTGGGCGGCCCTGCGTGGTGGCAACCCTCCCCCCCCTATGGCCATGCAGTAGTCGGTGAGCGCGCTATCGTCGAAGATCTCGATAGACCTCTGGCCGCCGCGGGGAGTGCCGCTTGGCCAGGGCCAGGCGGGCCTCCTCGGGTCAACTGTAGCAGCTCTCTGGCACAGGCGTGGACTCCGTCGCGCGGGCCATCCAATACCCGGGAGCAATCGACATTGAATCGACACCGAGTCGCCCCTGCACTTTTCGACGACCGCTGCCGCTCCGAAGCCCAACGCGTATTTGCAACGCGCCAAAAAAAACACCAGAACAAATTTGCGACCGTGGCCCCTTGCAACGACACGCCAGGCAAGGCACAGTCGGCATCGACTATCCGAATTCCTCTTGCTCCTCTCACCCTACTCCTCGCCTTGCATTATACAACTCGTTCTCTCCCTGTCCCCTTCTCGTGCACGTGCAACCTCCACTCAAGACATGATGTGGTGCTTTCGCAAAGCGGCCTCCCGGATCCCGAAACGCGCACAGCCACGACAAACTATCAAACTAAAGGTTGCCAGGTCGTTACTGCACAGCCCCAGAAAAGGGCAACTAACGAAAACATCCTTCATCGCGAATTCTTCCACAACGAAAAAATGTCTAAAGGGGGAAATGGCCCCAAGGCTTTTCCTGGTGCGCGTGCCAGACCGGATTTCGAAGCGAATCCAGCAGTGGCGTCGGGAAGCTCACCGGAGGCCCAGAGGAAAGCCTCGATCCTCGAAGTTCGGAGCTCGAGGTGGGAGGGCGACCCTCGGAAAAGGGGGGACGCTTTTCGCAACGAGATGGGGATCTGGGCTCAGGTCGGGCGTGTCCTCCTACAGGCGGGCTTTGGGCGGCAAATGATAAAGAGTCAAACGATATTCCAACATAGCCCAAACTAGTAAAAACAAAACAATCGCCCCATAGTATTATTGGACTATGCTTGACGGTTCCCCCTGTAGAGGGACGCGCCCGACTTAAATCTGGGCTGGCGCTGCCTGAAGGCACAGATTTGGAGTCCCGAAACGGTGCGGTGACAGACCGTGCGGTAACCTCGAAATCCCTCAAGACCTCACCGCACGGTCCGTCAGCGCACGGTTTTGGGACCCTGGAGGCTCCAGTCGCCCGAGACATCCTCGGAGAACGACCCGAGTCCCAAAACCGTGCGGTGACCCCGAATCCCCACCGACTCACCACACGGCGTGGTCACCACCCCGTTTGGGGGCCCCCGACGAAGGCACGGAGGGGGAACTCGGCGGAGAGCCCCCGGGAGCGCTCAGCAGAGAGGGCCCCGGCCTGTTGTAGAGCGCCAGGGCCTCCTCTCCCGGGGGCGCGGGGGCGGCCCCCGCCGCCGCCGCCGCCGCGGCGCGGCCTCCTCCCTCGCCGTCGCCAGGGCAGGGGGGGGGCAGGAGGAGGAGGAGGAGGAGGAGGAGGAGAAGGAGGAGGAGGAAGAGGAGGAGGAGGAGGCGGAGGAGGCGGAGGAGGAGGAGGAGGAGGCGGAGGAGGAGGAGGAGGCGGAGGAGGGAGGAGGAGGAGGAGGAGGAAAGGCGGAGAAGGAGGAGGAGGCGGAGAAGGAGGAGGAGGAGGAGGAGGAGGAGGAGGACAGAGAGGGGGGAGGACAGAGAGGGGAGGACAGAGAGGTGCGACGCATCGCCGACCTGACGGCCCACGCTCGCCAGGGAGGGCACGGCGCAGGATAGGTGGGGATAGGGAGCTGACTTGGCAGGATTTGGGGTGATTCCTCATCCCTGTCCAGTGGGCTGTAAATGCTTTGAAGCCTTGGGGGAGGGGGGATGCCTCAGAGGGGGGAGGACAGAGAGGGGAGGGGGAGGGGGGGCTGGGGGAGGGGACTGGCCATCCCTGGACGTCCATTCCTCGAACAATTGTTCGATGGCGTGCGTGTTATTGGAATTTTCATGCAAGATGACCCCACATTCTTCTCGATGACACTCGCCAGGAGAAGCGCACACGTCGGAGCGATGCCAGGGGGAAGGAGGAGAAGGGATAAGTCGGGCGTGTCCTCCTACAGGCGGATTGTTGGACGAAGAATAAAAAATGCCCAACCAATATTTCCAGAATCGTCAAACATAGTAGAGAGATCGTCCCCTACACTATGTTTTCACTATTTTGGGATACTCCTCCTGTGGAGGGACGTGCCCGACTGAACCCTCGCTCGCCTTTTGGGATACTCCTCCTGTAGAGGGACGTGCCCGACTGAACCCTCGCTCGCCCTCGCCCTCGCCCCTCCTCCGGCCCAGAGGGAGGCCCCCCTTTCTAGTACGGGCAGGATGAGGAGGCCCTGCCGCGCCCATGCCCCCGCCCCTCCTCCCCTCGCCCTCGCCAGTCCCTGACCTCCCACGAGGAGGGAGGGAGGGAGGAGAGCAAGGAGGGGCAAGGGGGGGCACTGAGGAAGGGGGAAGGAGAAGAAGCGGAGGAGGAGGAGGAGGAGGAGGAGGAGGAGGAGGAGGAGGAGGAGGACAAGCTAGGTGCGCTCGCGTCATACATCCTACCCCTCTCTCCCATCTCTTACCATGGCGTAGATCCCCTCTCTACTCGCACACTTGGATGTCGAGCAGGGCAATGATCCGGAAAGGGTACGCGATGCATTGTAGAGCACGGCGTGGCACGTCGTAGAAGAGCACCGCAAAGCGTAGTATCAACCTAGCATTGCATTGCATGCCGTGGCATGGCACGGGAAACGACGCCAACGCTGCAGCGGGAGCACGAGTCGAAACGAGCGGAAGCGCGGAAATGAGGCCAACGCTGCAACGGGAGCACGATTCGGAACGAGCGGAAGCACGGAAATGAGGCCAGCGCTGCAGCGGGAGCACGATTCGGAACGAGCGGGGCCCGAAAATGAGGCCGGCGCCTCAGCGAGAGCAGCATTTCGAAAAAATGCAAGGCGAAAAACCCAACTCCAGGGAAACCTGAGTGTAAAAAAATACGCGGACGGGGGGGGCGAGCACTTTCAAACCGTCATCAGGGAAGAGTAGTATTCGTATTGAACTATTTGGAGGAGAAGGAGGAGGAGGAGGAGGACGAGGAGGAGGAGGAGGAGGAGGAGGAGAGAAAAGGAGGAGGAGGAGGAAGGAAGGAGGCGGAGGAGGAGGAAAAGGAGGAGGAGGAGGAGGAAGAGGAGGCGGAGGAGGGGAGGGAAGAGGAGGGTAACCCTGCCTCCTTCTCTCCCGCGCACCTCCCCGCTCGCCATCGCTCATCGCCGCCCTCCGTCCCGCCCACCCCTCCCCCCAATCCTGCAATCGTGGTCAGCAAGCAGTGCACAGTGTGCCCAATCGCCCCACATGGCGCAGACCTACACGTGCTGCTGCATGGCCGTGTGCCCATGAAAGACCTACACGTGCTGCTGCATGGGCACAGTGTGCATGGCCGTGCTGCTGCAGTGCACAGTGTGCCCAATCGTCAGCAGCAACAGTGCACAGTGTGCATGGCCGTGTGCCCATGAAAGGGGAAACAACGGCATGGGGCAGGACCGGAGCCGCAACAGATCAGATGTGGTGGCCATGGCAAGCGTTGCCGAGGGGAGACTGGCGAGGGCAATTGCGACGACCGAGCGCATATGAGCGTGCTGATGGCTCCAAGCGCCGCCGACACCACGGCAAACCCACGGCAAACCCTGCGCCCCGCGCCCCAAGTGGACGTAGCCGGAACCGCAGCGAACCCGCGGCGAGCCCACCGCGCCCGAGGCGGCGTCTACCCTGGTGGCCGCGGTGCCCTCCCCAAGGCGGAAGGCCGCGCGTCGGAGCAAGCGGCGCGGCGACACCTGGGCTGGCCCGATGCGCGGCGGAGCCCCAGGAACGCTCCGCAGCAGGCCCGGGGCCTGTTGTAGAGCGCCAGGGCCTCCTCTCGGGCCGTGGGGGCGGCTCCCGACGCCGCTGCTCTGCGCGGCCTCCTCCCTCGCCCTCGCTAGGGCAGGGGGGGGGGCATGAGGAGGAGGAGGAGGAGGAGGAGGAGGAGGAGGAGGAGGAGAAGGAGCAGGAGGAGGAGGAGGAGGCAGGAGGAGGAGGATAAGGGAGGAGGAGGAGGAGGAGGAAGAGGAGGAGGAGGAGGAGGAGGAGGAGGAAAGGAGAGGAGGAGGAGGAGGAGACGGAGGAGGAGGAGGAGGAGGAGGAGGTGATGAGATGAGAGCAGTCGCGAAGCGAGTCTATATAAATTAAGCCCTGGTCGCACGCTCAGCCTTGCTGAGCACTTTAGGCTCAAGATAGCTCTCTAATCGACGGAGGTACTGCCTGCCAATAGAGGTAATGGGTTGGCAAGGAGCCGCCAACGTCTTGCTAAGAAGGGCTTGACCTGTGGACCCGCAGAGGAGGAGGAGGAGGAGGAGGAGGAGGAGGAGGAGGAGGAGGAAAAGGAGGAGGAGGAGGAGGAGGAGGATGGGGATAGTGGCCCGAGGCGGGGCGCCTCCAAAGGAGTGACGCCTGCACTCGTGCACGGTCCCTGCCATCATCTCTCTCTCTCTCTCTCTCTCCGGTGCATGGTCGCTTGCACAGACGGGCACGCTCCAAGCCGCTACAGAAGAAGAATAATAAGAAGAGGAAACAGAAGATGGGAGGAGGGGAATAATAATAAAACGAATAATAAGGATACCAATGAGAACAACATCAATAATAAGACGCATAATGCTTATAATAATGTGGGAGGAGGGGAAGGGAGAGGACGCGCCTGCCTCGCCCTCGCCCTCGCCCCTCCTCCGCCCCGGAGAGGGGCTCCCCCATTTCCAGCAGGGGCGGCAGGAGGAGGAGGAGGAGGAGGAGGCCCTGCCGCGCCCTCGCCCCCACCCCTCCTCCCCTCGCCTTCACCCTCGGCATCCTGCGCCCTCCCACGAGGAGAGGGAGGAGGAGAGCAAGGAGGGGCGAGGGGGGTGGGGGGGGGGTAAGGAGAGGAAACTGAAAATAAGCAGCAGGAGGAGGAGGAGGAGGAGGAGGAGGAGGAGGAGGAGGTGGAGGGTAACCCTGCCTCGCCCTCTCCCTCGGCCCTCCCCGATCGCCCTCGTTCATTGCCATCCTCCGTGTCGCCCAGCCCCACACTAAATCTTGAGATCGTGGCCAGCAGGCAATGCACAGCGTGCCCAATCGTCCCAGATGGCGAAGACCTACACGTGCGGCTGCATGGGCCGTATGCCCATGGATGGGGGAACGGCGCCTGCCTGGAACTGGACCGGAGACGCAGCAGACCAACTGCGGTGGCCATGGCAGGCGTTGCCGAGGGGAGGCTGGCGAGGGCCGACAACACCCAAAAAAGATAGGCTCCCCCCCGCACACCTGTTTCCCCAAGCCCCCCCCCCCCCCGGCACACCTCAGGAGGACCCGCTCCAGGAGCGGACGCGAGTGCACGACGCAACGCAGAAGGGACCCGCGCCCCCAGGGGGGGCACCTCGGTCCTCGCCAGGGTCGCGCGATGCCAGGACGGGAAGGCACGCGTGGCACTGCGGGGGAGCTGCGTCTGGCGGGCCGCTTCCCTGCGTCGTTGTTCCTGCCGTGTCGTGTGCTCTGCTCGGACTGCGCCTCTCGTCGGTCCGCCGGCCGGACCTCTCGGGGATCTACTGACCCGTGGCGTTGCAAGCCGGGGCCCGTCGGGCTTTGCAGGATCCTGCAAGATCCTGCGGGATCCGCTAGATCCTGCGCGCTAGCATGGGTCGGTGCACCCCCGTGAGGAGAAGAAACATCGTGTTGGGAGGGAGGGGTTGGGGGATGAAGGGCATGAGCAATGGCATCCGGATGCAACGAACGACACCTCCGGCCGCGGTAATGCTATCCTCGTTTCTCCCAGCCCCATCTCTTACCTGAGAATCGTCTTCCTGATCCTGGCTCTGCAGATTCCTGGAATCTCTGGCGCCCTGGTGAGCGTTTGCTCGTTTGGCCTTTCGACGTTGGGCGGCAGGGGGAGGGAGGGCGGGGGTCTGGCTCCGGACCTCTGCTTCGTGCGACTGCTTGGAGCAGTGCGTCCTCTGGGGGAGGCTCCACCTGCCTGAGGCAGGCGCCAGGAACAGTCAAGATCTACTCCATGAGGGGGGGGCATGGGTCAAGGGGCCCAAGGACACACAAAAAAATAAACACAAATAAAATGATTCCCCATATTTCCCCATATTTTCTGGGTTTTTGTCTCCCCCCCCAATTCCCATATTTTCACATAATTTCTGGGGGATCGACGATTAATTGTGTCTGTGTGTTTTTTCCCCTCCTGAATGGGGGGTGCGAGGGCTCGCGCCGATCGGCAAAACAATAAACAAAACAAGGATCACCTCACTGACCCCCGTTTGCATGGAGCTGCTGGCCTCGCAGAGGCGACGTTCGCTGGAGGCGCC